TGTCAAGTAAATAGACTGAAATTTTATATGACATTTATTCAACTACGACATTCTCAGTATTATATATATTAGTGTGATCCGATAAAACATGCAAGAGGTACAAATATTGAGCTCAAACATAAATCAATCTTTCATTGTGTTGTTTTTTTATCATAACTGGATATGTCAATTACCCAAGATTAACCGTGACAGAATGCCTGAATTATTAGACTCTCGAGAAAACAAGAAACATAGGCATGAACTTACAAAAAAAAAAAAAAAAAATCAAACAACATTTCTGTATTATTCAAATAATATTGATTTTATAATACATATCGACCATGTAACTATGTTTCATTCAAGCATTGAGAAGTTACTTCATAAATAGAATTTCTCTTGATTTGGAAAATCGGAAAACAAAACATCTTCATATATGGAGTATTCATGACTTGAACAAGAACCAAAAAAGCTTCTCTATTCAGCATATATATATATATATAAAGAAAAAAGTATCAAAATTAAACTAATAAAGTTGTAGACCGCTATTTCTTCTTAGAGAAATATTGCTTTTATTGGCAAAAAAAAATTCAATATAACTGAACATGGAAATGAGAGAAACAAAACGCGAACAGTTCAATTATAATAAATGAAGAAAAGCCATTTAATGAATTTGTAACTTTCATCCATAAGCAATAAGATCTCTTAACGTTCACACGCATTTCCAAAAGTTTTCTTCAACACGCATCAATTGATTCTACACGTCTATTGCTTTTAAATATATTAATAAATTAAAATTATTTAATATTGATAATAATGTGATTGAACATCGCATTAGATAATGAGGTCATTTGTACTTATTGAACAATTGAAAAATATCAACAAGAAAGAAAAATCATAATAAGTACTAATCATTAATCACTCAAATATTCAATTATAACAAGTAACATTCATTGACATCGACGGTCGATTCACTGGACACTAGACTAATGAAATGATGATAAGCAGATGGTTGTATTTTTCTAGTCATTAGTGCCATAAGAATGGTCATTTGTGCTATGGAAATGATCAATTGTATCATAAAAATGGTCACTTGTGTCAAGCACTTGTTACAGATAGACACAGGTGAATTACGATTTCTAGACTTTAGTCTTTCTATCTAGAGAATCTGTATTTTTTCTATTTATTTGAATAAAAAACATTCATTTTATTTATAACATCGCAAGAAAGTTACACAGTCAAATTCTTGATATTTATTTCATTTTGTATGCTGACTATTATATAGATATATTAAAATAAATCAAGTTTTCAGGTATTTTATTCAGATTCTAATACTTTAAGTATACAAAAGTAGGCGTAAGTAGTCAATAAATTTACATACGTACTATTATTGTCCTACACTATTTCTTATAGAATATAATACAGAGATTACATAATGAATATTAAATACTTTGATCAATACATCTCTTATTCTATGGATCATGATTGTATTTAAATTTTTTCTAAATTTATCATATAAATTTAAATATTGTACTATGAATAAAATTAATAAAAGATTTTTATTTCTCGTTCGAAAACTTCAATAAGACTTTTTCGAACGAAAGTTTTTTTTTGTTAAACATTCTTAAGTTTTATCATCGAGTTGGTTTTAATTCCAAAAAAATATTTTGTAAATTAAGTGTAAAGTCATGATTATAAAGTCCAAAGTTCTTCGTGCGTATCTTATTCTTATAAAGCTTCTAATGTTTTCCTTTTCTCTTTTTTAATCCTATTTATATTTCAAGTTTATTAAATATGCCAACTGATAAGTTTACAATTTTTGTTTGATAACATAGAATAGCATTATCATTGAAATGATATGTGTTCGTGTTAAAGCCCGTCGGGTTCAAAAGTATTGGACTCAGATCCGGCTGAATTCTATTTTGATACTCTCAATGAAATTTTTTAAATGGAATTCGATAGCGGCTCCGAAGATATGAGATATATTTTTGCAGTTTTTTGTATCCAGTGACTATCACATCCTACGCATATCTCAGATGGCTAGAGTTCGTCATGTCCAAAATTTTCGGACTCGAATCTAATCGGGTTCGGGATCTTGTTTGTTTGATTGAAGAAATTTCAGTCGAACAATTAAATTAATGTTCATATGATGTTGACAATTTAATTTTACTATCTTAAAAATTATTTTCTAGTTTAAGTTGTACTTCGTTTGAGTAATTTTATTTACAATTCATTTTTGATAACTAAAATATCAATATTTGATGTTTGGAATGGTAAAAATACATGTTATATTTTATTATTCTATAGTAAGTGAATAATTTAGTTAAATATAATTACTATTCAATATCTTTTGTTTTTCAGGATTTAACTTTGAAAGTATTAATATTATCTACAATCCAAAGATCCATGTGAACTTTATCTATTTCAATACTATTTTTTGCTCTTATATCATAGATTTCAAATGGTTTATATAGTATTCAATTTTGTATTGAACAAATTTTTCTTTGAATAAAATTCAAATAAATGAAAATGTACTTAGTAATAATAGATTAATATATGATACGAAACATTGTTTCTTTTTTTTTTTTTGCGAATGAGAAAATGATTTAAAGTGTTTATTTCATGGTCATTTTTTTTTTCAATTTTGTAATATGAGAATAATATGTCCTTGTTCTCTCATCTTATTATCCATAATTGTTGATCAATCATAAATATTTAATATCAACACAAATGACAATGAGAAAAGAAAAAAAGAAACGAAGTTCTGTCTTTTTTCTTAAATAACTGTCATCATGTTCTGCTCAAATTTTGATTACATCATATCATTATTTCTTAATGTCCTTAATAAAAACGGTAAGCTTATTTCATATTTAGATTTAAGTAAATATGCTAATGGGAACTAGTCAAATGTGTTGGTCTTTTTCTTTTGATGATGATCACTATACTATGTAAACGTATATAACGTATGCTCGATACATTCAACAGTCTTCCCTTTGTTTCGGTAATGTGAAAGAGAAAATGATTTAACTGTACTTCACTTCGTTTTTATTTCGTGTTTGTGGTAAGTATACATGTTATTCAGGTATGTACATATATAAATTTGAAGGCGAATATTATATATACAGACGATATTCACTTTTTCTCTTATTTCAAAATAGACATTAAAGGTATGCATTTTAGATGAATATTTAATCGATTAAATTATCAATAGTAGAATTAATCTCTTATTCTAAATTAGTACTGACTAGTGACTTCTTCATATTTTATTCAAAAAGAAAACGGATGTAAAAACTACGAAACTGATGATCATGATTGTTATATAATACAATGCAATTAAATGAGTACATTTAATTATACATAAAGATCAATGACGGTCTTGAATGTGTTACTATTATAATTATAAGTGAATGTTTAGAACGGTATGAAGAAGTGTCAGAATTGAAAGAGAAAAACTTATTTGTATCTAGGTATTGATTGTACTTTATATGTAATTATGTCCTGTGGATTAGCCAGATCGTGATTGAGGTTGTTCAATTTTTTAAAAAATATGTTCTTGTTTTACTGATGTTTAACAAATAAAACATTAATAAATTGAAAGAATTTATAATTTCAATGTAGAATAATAAACAATCTCTTCCTAAGGCAAATACATAAGTTCTATTTATTGATTTTTTGTACTCCTCCATACAATACTAAGAGCAAATTGTCTCTTGACATGTTTCTTTTTTTCCTTTGTATGTTATCTTTCTTTACTTTTCAGAAGCCATAGAATACTAGTTCGTATATATTTTAATGAATTTATAATATTTAGGTTGACATAAACATATACGTAGGATTGTAGCGTTTCATTTTTCTAATCAGTTCTACTTGACAACTATAATTATCTCTATCACTTATTGATGTTAAGTATTCTGATCGATGAATTTTGTCTAAATGCACATTCATCTTTTGATACGATTTTTTTTCTTATGAATTATACCTGTTCAATGATTACTTTCATCAATATACGTATTACACAATTTTTTGAATAGAAAGATTATTTCTTTGTACACATTGAGAATTCATTGTGAACATTTTTTGTAAGTATATTGTCGCTTTGGGCATTATTCTTACTATTGAACAAAGAAATAGACGTGAGAGAAAGAAAGAGAAAATGTCTGACAAGTATATATATATATATATTAAAATCTGTTACTATTATAGGTACATTGGTACGAAAAATGGTCCACATGCCATGCAATGCCCTCTACAATCTACAATCAACTATACTCGATCCTATAAGTAATTTCTGGTTTACCAACGATTGACATTAGATCATGAAAGTCTCTGTATGTAATACTTTCGATTGAAATGTCAGATTAATAAAAAAAAAAAGAGAGATTGAATAAACAAAATTAAAAAAAGGAGATTAAACAGATAAGATTAGAAATAGAAGAATATCTTACATATCTGAAGAACTATAAGTAAATAGAGAGACAGTGTATGAGTTTTATTTCTATGCATGAAAAAAAAAATTCGTTTTTCGGAAAATAAATATTTCGGATTATATTTGAGTCTGAATGTTAAATAATTTTTGTTTTACTAAAATTTCAAAGAATAATACTTGAACAAAAGTTGTTTATTCTTGTTATTGTTCATTTATTTCTTCTTTATTTATTACCATATTCATTGCCTGGACGCTTTTGATTTAGTGGTATTGACTACTATGTTTAGTCTATTCATTTATCGATGTATATTGCTCGTTGTTTTCTCTCTGTTTCTTTTAAACAGTATAATCTTTCTCTCTCGTTCTGCCTCCATTCTTTTCAAACTCGATGAATCATCGATTTTTTCTAACTTTTCACATCTTTATTATTCATTCATATCATACGACCAAAACTAACATTTATCATTCGTTTTTAATTTATTATAAATTACATAAAAAATTAGATTAATAAAATCTCTTCATTTATTTCAGATTGTACAACAGGTTATTTTTGTGTTGAGCGAGAGAGTGACGGCGAAATCTAATGCTGACCACTCCGATGACGACGACGACAAATCGATACGGTATAGAAACCGATGATGTTTTCACACATGGTTAGTCTCAATTATTATTACTATTATAAATCTAAAACGAATCTTTTTTTGTTTTTTTTTTCATTTTATTAAGAAACATTAAAACAGTCGCCTTCTGATGGTTTCGTTGGATTACCGTCTTCTCCTCCTCCACCACCTCCACCTCCACCACCACCACCACCACCAATATCACCTGTATTTAATAATAACATAAATAACAATTGTAAAATATTACTTCCACATCAAGAAGTTAATCTTGTTGTTAATCGTGCAAATATAAATGAAATTCAAGCACGTTCTATTCCATCAATGCTTATATCAAGTAATAATATTTGGACACGATGTGTTCTACCCAATCTTCATATAAAACAAAGTGTATTCGATCAACATTTTGGTGATTCAAAATCTCTAATAACAGATCGTTATAGACGTGTAAGTGTATCAACAAATTGTGTAGGAGGAGGAGGAGCTGGTATTAATGATGATGGACCATTATCATTTGTTTTACTTGATGCTACATCAAAAATGCTTTATGATGTACCAATGCGTCATTTACTTCAATTAGTCAAAAAAGATTATGATGATGATGCTACTATTGATCATGTTATACGAGCTATTGACGAAACACAAATGAAATCGGAATGGTAAAGAAATTTTTTTTTTTAATATATATTTAATGTTTATAATAATGAATATTTGAATTAGAAACATGTATAAATCGATGAAAACTTCGGAGAAAAATTGTTGAATTGAGATTTTGTAAAATAAGGTGGAAAGCCAGTGTTGGAGTCAAAATTTTGACCTCCCACAGTAGAGACCTGAGGAATCAGGTTTTTTTTATTCCGCAACCCAACTCCGACAGAGTCGGAATGATAACCGAGTTTCGAAATTCTTCGCAGATCTCTACCACAGAAGCAGCGACAGACGTTGTTGATATACGATCAAAAGCTGTAAGCCAATAACATCTCGTTCTAATGTACATGAACAATCTCCTTATTGCATTTCTTGAGGGTTAAGTAAAAGGATAGTGAAACAATGTGTTCCAAAATAGAACGAATAAAATAATCTCTGTATCATTAGTAACAGCAGCTACATCGTCTTTCATATTTTAATCTTACCATGGGTTATCCTAACAGCTATAAATTTCAATTGAATGAGCAGATTTAAAAGTTTAGAAAATCTCAACATATTTTCTCTATGTATCAGTAAATCTAAACGTGATGAATACTGCCTTTTTTTATCATATCTATTCAAAATATAACAAAAATAAAAGACAAATATCACAAATAAACCTTTTTTTTATTTTGTTTTTCATATTTAGGCTTGATGCAGTAACTGCTTTAAATAAACAATTTGATAAACGTCCAGAAGATAAAGCTCGAGTATTAGCACATAATGGTTCAACACATGGTCTTGTACTTATAGAACAATTTTTTGTTAAACTTGTTCATATACCAGCTTATGAATTTAAATTAATTTATTTAAAATTTCGTGAAGAAGCACCAACACAACTTGAACGTATGATTAAACATATAAATGATCTTCTTGAATCTATTGAAATAATATTAAATAATGAACAATTACCTGGTATACTTCATTTACTTTGTTTACTTTATAATAGTATAACAAGTAAAACAATACCAGGTATTCATTTTGATTCAATTTTATCTGTAATTTCAACACGTACATTAAAACAAAATACAACATTCGCACATTTATTATGTCATTTATTAGAAGAACAATATCCAACATTATTAAATATATTTAATAATCAAATATTATTAAAATTAAAAGATTTATCATTAATTAAATATATTCCAATTTATATTGATATAAATTTATTATATACACGTTATAAACAATTAAATATTTCATTAAATAATTATGAAAAAGAATTTATTTATTTACCTGAACATATAAAAACAACATTTAATAATTTAGAAATTTTATTTATTAAATTATTTAATTATGAAAATCAAATAAAACAAGGTGAAAAAAATTTATCAAATTATTTTTGTGTTACGGATTTATCACTTGAAATATGTTTATCAATTCTTGGACAATTTATTGATAAAATTCGTCTTGCTCATATGCAAAATATTGAACAATATCGTCGTAATCAATTATTATCGAAACAACAACGAATTATTCAAACACCAATACGTTCATTACGTAATATACAAAATTCATTTTCTTCAGATACAAATATTTTTCGTGATCATTTAAATGTTCCATTAACACGTCAATGTTTGAAAATTAATCGAACATCACGTGATCGTTATTTATCTTCACGTGATATTTCTTATGATGAACAAATAACTCAAAATTTATTACCAAATTCTATACCAAGAAAACGTGGTCATTCTCCAACATCTAAAACTGTTCTTACTAAACGACCATTTAATATTCTTGGATTATCAACAACAAATAAACAAAACGAAGAAATAGTAAATTTCTTTTGGCTTTTTCTTTTCGATTGAATTTACAAATGTTTGTTTTTTTTTTCACTTCTTTCCTAAAGAAGAAAAACAAACAATAACAGTATGAAAATTATCAATAGAATTAGATCGTATTAGAACAAAAGAAAATATCAGTCTTCTATAAAACACGTTGAAAAAGGAGTTTTGAAGTATAGGAACAAAATTTAAATTCTTCTCCCTCTACAGACAACAGTTAGAGACAGAACCAGCGTCGTTTACACTGCTCGATCAGTCATTACCGATGTGTCTTATTTATTTTTTCGCACTTATTATCTTATAGTGGATGTGTAATTAAACTTTGTTGAAAGTTGATTACGTCAAATATTACTATCCGCAAAATGGCGAAGAAATTTGTCCTAAAGTAGATAGAATAGAACAATCTTCCTGTTATTAGCAACACCAGATACGTTGCCTTTCATGTTGTAATCTCGCAGCAGTTTTACTAACAACTGTTTTCGAACGAGTTATTTATTTAATTGAAATCTTTGATTGAAACAAAATATTTACGAGGAAATTAAAGATCTAAATGAAGGTTTTCTTCTCGAAAAAACTCAATATAGAAATAAAGTGTGTTTTTGCATATAATCAATTTTCGAATATTTAATATCTGTAAATAAATTAGCTATACTGAAGAAATATATTAGAAGAACCCAACCGAAAATTGTATAGAATTTTATATCTGTATAAGAACTCTTCTACACTGTTTTTGGAATTTTAATAATAATAATAATAATAATAATAATATATTGATATTTAGGATGATGTTTTCATTTCTCCAACATCAGATAATAAACATGAAGAAACAAAAATGGATTGTTCAACAAATGAATCTGCCATTGTACCAACAATAAATATGATATCTACTAATGAAAATCAAATATCATCTTATTTAACAACATCAAATCGATCTTTATTCGATTCTACAAATGATCAATCAATTCCAACAAATAATTCTATTCTATCAATTAAATATGAAAATGATTTACCAATCAAAATTCATCAATATGAACATAATATTGAAAATGAAATTAATAAAGAAAATAATTCATCATTATCAACACAAAATTCAACAGAGGTAAAAAAACAAAACAAAATCATGCTAGTTTACTAATATTTTAATATTCTAATGCATATCTAACATCACATTTTGCTTCTACTGCTTTTGTAGTTGTCACATTGGTATACGAATTTATTTCATCAACTTTGGCGTTCATCATTAATGAATGTATCTTCAAAAACAAAAAACTGATAATTGAATAAGATTATAATCATTTAATTTCTGATCATTTTTTTCTGTCAATTATTATTTTCAGTTTAAGAAGATAACGATTTTTCATATCCTATGATTTTCAACAGTACGATATTATACATGAATTAAATAGATCTTCTTCGATAAAATAGTGATGTATGCCGTTATTCACTGTTTTTTTTTTCAAAAATTTCTTTCCGTTTGGTTTCATTGGTTTTTCTTTTCTTTTCTTTTTTTTGGTTTATTGATTTTTATATTTATTTCGGTTTTTGTTTATATAGTTGATAACATTGTGTTGTTTGTATCCATGATTGATATTTCACAGAAAAAATAATATAACAAAAAAAAAAAGTATATATGAGATTTTTTAAAAATGTTAATCAGCACTTTTATTTTAGTTATAATGTTTGGTGGGATAGAAGCACGCAAATTATTTGCTGTTTGATGTTTAGATTCAAAAGAAAACTACTAAATATAATTTCTGTTAATTCCTTCTAACAGAATTTTATCAAATAGTAGTTTCCGAAAATATCAAAATGTAGAATTTTATTCTGAAATTAGCGAAAACTCGTGCATATTGCACGGATAGTTTCTCCTTTAACGGATAATCTTAGACGTTTAGCTTTTCTTCCGGTAAGAGACATGCAGACACTCGGTATTATGTGTATAGAAAGATAGCCCTGCAGCCTCATACTCTTATATCGCACATATTTTTATAGTTCATGTAGCCTTCGACCTTATTGCCTAATAAACCGTGTAGCTCTTGTCGCATTATCCCCTTATTGCCTTACTCTCTTCCAAACCTATGGGTACCCGTATAAGACGGTTCTTGAGGACCGATGGGTACCTATATAGGATAGGCAATGAGGACCTATGAGTACCTCATATGACCCATGACCTTTGACCAGGCACAGAGAAACACACACTGAACATTATATATATAGATGTTACTTATAGATATAGCTGATAATCATTAGAAACTTCTGAAAGTTTCAAGAAGAACAAACATATTGTTTTCGAGATACTTAACTTTTGCATTCATCTGTAGTAAGTTGCTATTTTTTGGAAACTGAATATCTCAAAAGAAAATTTCTTAATTTTGATATTTTCAGAAATGCCGTACTTTGACAAAAAATTCAGCAAAGCAATCATAACTCTTTACCAGTAGGCTATAGGCGCAAATCCTTCCAGGTTGTTCTTAGTCTCACAGAGATCTTTTCATTGCCGTGAGAGTAGGTTGAATGGCGTCCAATAGTTGGAGATGCTTTCTCGTTAGTGATGTAAATAACTGAAAAAAATCTGTAGGAAGGACTCAGTTCTCTGACCATGTCTATAGAGCGAGACGGATACTATGTAGTAATGATCTTAGAAAGGACGCGACACTGGTTTAAGCATAAGCCAACCATTTGTAAGGCGGAGGATACTTAACCCGTTGTGTAATGGCACTAGTTAGAGAAGGAATCGATCTGAATTTTTCACGACCGGTATTAATCTGAAATCCATACCGACTCTGGGCTGACGAGTTCTCGTACTATTCCATCTGTGGATGTCGTCAACTTTTAACAAAGTTTCATCATACATCCTCTATGAGATAATACGAGCCAAAGAATAAAAAGAACGAGTCGGTACGGGTTTCATCTCTGCCAATAGTTTCTCTCATTGTAAAATATAAGAAGAAGAAAAGTAAACTTTTGACTATATATCAAACTGTTATTCTTTTAATAAAATGTTTGATTAATTGCAGTTACCTTCTCTACCAAATATCATCGATGATAATAATCAATCATTATCGTCTGTTAATAATTCTAACAGTAAAATTCGTAGTACATTTACAATGGAAATATCATCATCTCGTTCAAAAAAATTCAATAAAAATCCTAAAAGACAATCAAATATTAGCGAAACTGATGAATTAAATTCGCAAAGTTGTCTAACAGAATCAAATTCAACTTATCAATTAAGTTATGAGAATATTATTGATAATAATAAACAATCATCTCCATCTAATGAACAATTAATAAATTCAAACAAATCTAGAAGTAAATTAGTTGATCAACAGAAAACTAATAAATCAAAAAAATGTATATCATTTATGGAGAATCAAGGATCGATATCGACAAATAATATTTGTAATCGAAATATCCAACGTTGTGCTGTATCTCGTAGAATTTCAACTGAAAAAGATACCGAAGAAACTAAGACAACATCTTCAACAATGCAATCACAAATGCCAATAACAACAAATCGTCGAATATCTTCTATTAAAACTAAAACTACTAATCATAATGTTCATTCTATAACAAATGCACCTTCATTTACTCGACCATTACGTGCATTTCAAATGCCTACTATAACTACTAATGGATCCTCATCATCAAAAAATACTAAAAATTTATCTTGTACTTCACAACAACATCATCATCATCATATAACAATGCAAAAAACATTTTCTAGTAGAACAATATTAGGTACTGTTCTACCATCAACAACATTAGTTAAAACTCAAAAAAACAATTGAATAACATTAAACTCATGTTTATAATAAATTGTTTTAAGTTTGATTTCTTTTTTTGCTTCTTGTTGAACACATACAATAAACAACACGAAGATATAATGTTTTACTAATGCTACGTTTATCATAAATAGTTAAATTGTACTAGATTTACATAAAGAGGTTACATAAGTGAAAAATTACATGACGATCTATTAGTTGATGAACTTCATCAAATAATAAAGGGTGTAGGGTAGGAAGCTGCGGGTCCTTTCAGACCCCGACTCAATCGGATCTGGTCCCCGGGTTCAGATTTTTAATTCTTTTTCGGGCCTAGATCTAGGTCCAAATTTTAAACTTTGTTCGGGTCCACAAAAATATGAACCTGCAGCTCCCTCTAGTGTGGAGTGTCACGAAACAGCTTCATTTTTTATTTAGTACCTTGTTTTTTTTCCAAAAAAAACATTCAGATATGAAGAACAATCAATGGATTCTTTACTTTCACTGTAATCTAAGAAATGTGTAAACATATGGATTCTAAAAAACATCTTTAATATCTTTTCATGTGCGAAACTCGGATAAAAACGACTAACAATGACATCTATCGAATGTACTTTTATGAGTTTAAAGTTAAATTATTTATTTATGTCTAAATAAATTTTTAAATATTTTTTTTTCATATTGATTTGAAAAAATATATTTAATAAATATATAATTCATTTTTTATTCGATCATTCGTAAAACCAATAAAAGATTGCAACGGACCAATTTGATAATTTTGTCAAGTCAAATTCTCTCTCTGATCTTATATTGTTCTGATGAAGCAATTTATTTGGCTTCTTTGTCTTTGTATTTATACAATTTCCAATGTTCTTAGCAAAGAAGTTCGTATATTAATAAATTATTCTTTATTTATAAAAACATATTTGATTGCAATAGGATATTCTTTCGGAAAAAATTCAACAATTAACAGATTGGTCACTTAAAAAACCGATTATTCGTTTAAATAGTGAACGTTTTAAACATTATGTAAAAACATCACCAAGAAATTATTCAATGATTATTATGCTTACTGCACTTTCACCACAACGACAATGTAGTATATGCAAGTAAGATTGATTTGTTTTTCCTTTATGTTTATTTTTATTCATTTATTTATTTTTTTTTCTTGAAAGACAAGCTCATGATGAATTTCAAATTGTTGCACAAAGTTATCGTTATTCAAGTGCTTTTACAAATAAACTCTTTTTTGGTATGGTCGATTTTGATGATGGTTCAGATGTATTTCAATATGTATGTATTACTTTAGAATTTCTTTTTTTTTTTGCTAAGATATATTAAATCAAGTAGATAAAGGAGAGTAATCACATTGTAAAGTAACAATGAATATATTGAAGCTTTAAATGTATCTAAATACGGGCGACGCAAATTCGCATCCTAAGATTTTACGCTCAGAATAGTTTTTGTAAATATCATGTGCTGATTACCCATGTGATTCAAACGGAACAAAAGCTGCCGATAAATAGAGCTCACCGAGTCTGGAACCAGCCCAACGGATTCTATCGGTATGTGCTCAATGCTGGTGGTAGTGCGAATAATTCTTCCGACATGGCTATTTAATAACATGGGGTGTGTTTATGAAATTTGCCTGTTCAAGATCAGCTACATTCACTTGTAAGGTCTTTCGTATTTCTCAAATGATTGATATTTTTTGTGTTAAGTTATTTGTTCTTGGTTGAGTTTTGTTCTTTTTACGTTGAGATATAACGCATTTGATTCTATTCACATTAAGTCAAATTCAAGCGATAATTATCTTAAAAAAACTGCTGACGACAAAACGACTGAGAATCGTATTTTTGATTTAAAATATCGAATTTACGGTCAGAGAAAGTTTTCTTGGATATATATATGAATAGTACAAGTGTAGACATTTATAATACAAATAAAAATTTAATATGAAGATACGAAGTGTTGATATACTTTCTGAGTCTTTTTAATACATCCTTGAATAACATTTAATGATAAGTGATTGTAAGCTTCATCGACCGCATTCTCTAGTTCACGTTGTGACTTTAGATTCTTGTTGTTAATTTTCTGTTTGATAATATTCGAGACCAGTTCAATAGCGCTAAAATCAGAACTATAACCTCACCATTCACACAATTCAATATTATATTGTTCACACCATTGTTTGAATTGAGCACTTCCATGTCATACAACTCCATCAGAAATATATAGGAAATCATTTAATTTTTTTATAATTCCAGATAAAGGTTCATATACTCGTGTCACTATTTAACCAGCTATCAAATCGATAGAAAACATAACCATTCCACCAAATGAAAGCAATTAGGTTAATCTACGCTCGTAAAGATGAAAATATCCTTCTTTGGTATCGGTTCTTCTCGTCTACACCAAACGACCTGTTGTGTGCTTCTTAAATCCACATAAGATTCATTTTGAAAAATATAGTTCTTGATGTTAGCATGATGATATAATGCAGCAAATCAGTATCGTTTTTGTACATCAATATTGTTGCTCTTGACTGTAAAAAGAGACTCGCGTGGACGATAGCCAAGAGAAAGACGTAGATGAAATTAACCAAAGACTCGAGTGAAAGCAGTTAGCATTCGCCTAGGAACTTGTTCCAATAGAGTTTCGATTGCAACTCGACGAGCTCCATCGAATAGTATGAAGGTAAAAAGGTCTTGCCAAGTCGATTGAGAAACATTATTTTTAATAGTATATTTTAACAATATTAAAACATAAACATTGATTTCGCTTTTCGAAAAAATAATTCCGTATTCAAAGGAATAGAATCGTTTGAGTTGCAAAGCTATTACAATTTTGCTCATTATTCGATTGAGTTTTTTCATGCGATCATATAGACGAATTTTCTAACTGAAATCGAACTCAAAACATATTAAGTATCACTAATAATTAGAGCTCGTTGGGTTAGACTCAGGTCCGAAAATTTTGGACGCAACGGACTCTTGTGACAACAGTACGTATTATACAAAAACTGTAAAAAGGATTAAATCAAATACAGGACCAGCTTCTCCATTCTGTCCGTTGCTCATCTTTGGTTCAGAATTATTCACGAAAACTAGAACAATTTCGAAAAAAAAAACCAGGGTCGCTAGGAAGGTTGGATACTCCTCTTTTTTCTGTTACATAACAAATTTGTATGATGTTTTTGTTTATTTAGTTAAAATTAAATTCTGCACCGGTGTTTATTCATTTTCCACCGAGAATGAAACCAAAAAAAAGTGATTTTATGGATATCAGTCGGTAAGTAAATCTAATTAAACAAAATATTTAATCTATTATTATAATTAGTTGGGGATTTTCTGCTGAACAACTTGCTAAATGGATTCATGATCGTGCTGATGTTCAAGTAAGATAATAACTAGACATACTAAATAATCATAAAAAAAATATATATATTCTTTAGATTCATATATTTCGTCCACCAAATTATTCCGGATTTTTATTAATAGTATTACTTGTAACAATGATTGGTGGTCTTCTTTATATAAAACGAAATAGTCTTGAATTTCTTTATAATCAAGTTGTTTGGGGAATGTTTGTTGTTGTAAGTCAATTTTAATTTTGAAAGTAAAAGCAAAAATTTTTTTCCTTGTGTATAATTTTAGCTTGCTATTTTAATTTGTATTTCTGGACAAATTTGGAATAGTATACGAGGTTCACCATTTCTTCATCGTAATCCTCAAACAGGTCAAATTGTAAGTAGCTATTTATTTAAAATATGTTGATATCTTTTTGTTTTTTTGAAGGGTTTATTTAGTGGAAGTTCTGGATATCAATTCATTGCTGAAACTTATGTCGTAAGTTTCTTTAAAGTTTAGTTCGATTGTGAGAATTAATAATTTTCTCTCTTTTTTTTTTTTATTTAGGTCTTCTTTCTCTATATCCTTTTTCTTGCTGATTATGCTTTTTTTTTTAGGAAAGAAAAAATTTTGATTTAGGATTTTATTTTCCTTAACTATTGTCTTTTTTTTTCTACATTTTGGTGTTTGTGCTGGTATGATTTTATTGAATGAAGCACCTAAATTAACTGGTCAAACTGGTAAACGTAAAGGTAATTTGAGATAATAAACTTTTATTATTAATTTTTTATATTTATCGAAAAATAAATACATGATCAAAAAAAGTAATTATTATGTGTCCGCAAAAAAGAATGGACTCGATTGTTTGTTGAATAACTCGGCAACATTGATAACTATTGAGCTCGGGTTTTCACTATTAGAAAGAACAAGAATGGAAGTACAAATCTATTTGAGAATCAAAATATTTGAAAAGTTTTCTAGAGGGTTCCAGAAAGTTTTTGGAAAATCACTATCTGATTCGCTTGATTAGGTGTATTTTCAATTTCACTTGAACATACATCTAATCAAGCGAATCAGACAGTGATTTTCTAAAAAAATCCCTAGAAAAATTTTCAAGTATTTTGATTCTCAGATAGATTTGTACTCCCCCACTCATGCTTTTACTAATGACGAAAACCCGAACTCGATAGCTATCAGCATTGCCGAGTTATTCAACTAACAATCAAGTCCATTCTTTTTTGAAATGGATAATACTAAAGATTCTTGTTCTATGTGCACAAAAAGCAGTGATAGTGAACAAATAGATTTTTGATAATCCTACAAGTCCTTACAAGAAGATATTAAAACTATTGAACTTAATAATTTTGTAGAATGGATATTTGCTCGCAAAATGTAATATTGATTTAGACGGTCACTTTTATTCAAGTGAAACCATAAGCATTTCCTCTGGAGCTACAATGTCTATTCGTCAAAAAATTGATTTTTTCAAAAATAAGGATCATAGGAAGATAATAGTTTAAGTGTTTTATCGAAAGACAAAAAGAAAGTGAAATAGTACATTTTGTTCTATAATCTGATATATAAACAAAAGTCTCAACATTTAGTTTTGAATCTCAATAGTGAAAATTTTCCGTTCAAACTTTTATTCTCTTAGTTTTAATTGTAAAAGATAACAATCGTTACTTTGATATTTATTGTAAAGAATTATATGAATTGTTGTATAATTTCATGACTAACATTTTATTTTGTTTCTATTAGCAATGACGGCTGTTCTTGGTATTCTAATGGTTGTCTTCTTCTTCAGTTTTTTACTTTCGGTATTTCGAGCTAAATATCAAGGTTATCCATACAGGTAAGATTTTATATTAAAAAAAAAAAAAACAATAATTTTTTTATTTTTGTTTATTTTAGCTTTTTAATCAAATAATCCATCGATTGTGATAAACATTTTCAACAACATCTTCTCAGCATATTTCCTTCTTTGATTAAAAACATTTAAAATAAAAAAAAAAAAAAAAAAAGTGTTCTAGTGTATTGTTGTTGTTTTAATCTACTTAGTTAGTCTTATTCCTATGTTTACAAAACCAAAAAAAAAAAAAAAGCGTACTTAAATGAACTTGTATTGTTTTTCTTGTCGTCTTTATTGTGTTTTTTCAAAACAAGCAAAAAAAAGAAAGAATATGAAAAAAATAAATTTTTGTTTTTTTTTTTTAATTATTAGTTTTTAATGATAAAAAATCTTTAATGAATTCAATTCGATCATGTATTGAACAACAATTAAATGAAATTGAATTATTACGTTGTTGTTATCCATCATCAGATGAATTTTATCTCGATGATATTGAAGCATTTAGTGAAGCAAAAGAATTTATTGATGAAAAACGTGAGAATATTCAAAGGAATCTTGGTTTTATTCTTAAACTACATCTAAATGATATTAATGTAAAAGATTTTCGAAAGAATTTATTACATATTTTATTATTTTCTTTAAGACATCAATTGAACTTCAATTTGTTTATCCATTTTATTATCCTGAATCACCAGTTGATATTCATTTACGTACATATTTATCACGTGAATGTTATGAAAAATTTAATGAATCTATAAAACAGTTTTTAAATAATAAAATATCATCATTACAAGAACCTTATGTTATGGAATTTCTTTCATGGATTCAAGATAATCAAATTCTTTTTATTTCATCAAATGATACAATATCTAAAACAACAAATGAACAAATTATAAAGAAAAAATTTTTTTCTCGTCTTTGGATTTATAGTCATCATATATATAATACAGAAAAACGACGAAATATAATTAATTGGGCACATGAATTACATTTAAATGGTTTTTCTATGCCTGGTAAACCTGGTATTATTTGTGTTGAAGGTGAAGAATCTGATGTTAATGAATATTGGACACGTTTACGTAATCTTACATGGAAAAAATTACAAATGAAAGAAAAAGAATTTTTAGGTGATAAAAATGAAAATAATTTACGTTTTAATCAATTTCAAGAACTTTCTTTTGTTCATGATAATCATAGTAAACATGATTTAGGACAATTATATCAATATTTACATGATAAACAATTAGACAGAATGTTTAATCTCTTTTTTGGTTTAGATGGAATAGATAAAAAATAAATTATATTTTAGATCGATAATTTATTCTAATTATATCATGAATCAAGAACAACCAACAAAACGATTACCTAGACCTGATCTTCGTGTTAATCCATCAAAATGGAGTGCTGCACAAAGTGGTGGAATTGCTTCACGAGTTGCTATTGTCGCAACTGTAACAGCTATTGTTGGTGGTCTCAGTCTCGTATTTCTCTATCCTTATATTAACATTGAACGATTTCGTATGTATTATTTTTAAAATCAATATAAAAAAAAAATGCTAAACAGATGTTAAACGTTAGGTCGTATTCAAAAAGTTAATCGAGCTGGAATCAATCCTGAAGATGTACAACCACCTGGTAAATATTAATCCAATTCTGTTTTTCTTATATTTATAATTTTTTTTTTCATAGGTTTGCCTGTTTGGCGTGATCCATTCGATAGAAAAAAAGCTGGATAAATATCGAATGATTTTTTTTTTTGTTCTTACTTTTTCTTTATCTCTGTAGATTTGTGGTTTTCATTGGTTTTTTTGTCCATTTCATAAATAAACAATTGTTTGCCTCACATTTATCTGGACAACATTGATACTTTCGATTGAAACAATCTTTTAAAGAATTGTGTTCTTTCCTGATAAAAAAATTTTTTTGGTTTTTTTCTATCTATTGTACATATTTTGAGAATTTCAAAAAACCACAATTTCTATATGAAAACCGCAAGATTTTTTTTTTGTTCAGTCGAGATTTTTCAGACAAAGCTCATTCAATCAAACTTGAACTTTTTCTACAAGTACAAGATAGTATTTTGAATGCGTATTTTTTTTATTACCTAAAATAATGTATCGTTGACTTTAGGGAGTGTTAAAAACAGAAACGTCTGTTCTAGAAGACAAATGCGGTTTTTTTTGGTGGCCTCCGCTTTTGGGTGCTTTTATCTGAAGGGAAAGAGATAGACAGAAACAGAAAAAAAGAACGTAGGAATTTCAAAGTATTTATAATATTGGTGATAAAGAGTTGCCCTACATAAACAAATGATCTTAGAAAAACGGAGGCGAGAAAAAGATTAGGAGAGGTCATTATGAGACTCTTACAACCACCATAACTTTCCGAAGGATACATTCATTAATTCTGAGTCTATAACAACTATTACTCTACTGATCAACATTTATGTACGATGAAAGTTACAATTGTTTCTGATGAACCAATGTCTGAAAAGGTCGAAAACCCGAATGTCATCACGTCATCATTTTCCAATAATGCTGTAAAGCGGTAAAGACAATGGTTGAGAAAAACAATGTCTGTTTGATAGCACAAAGAAAAAGACGGCGCCTAAAAAGGAATGATAGATTACCATAAAAATTATTGTAGTAATATGTCAATTTATAGCCTCTTCAAGCGGTTGAAGATACTGTTTTCGACGGTCGCAATGATTGTTCTGGGAAAGAAGGAAAGCTTAACTTGTTCATTAGAGAAAATGCATAATTTAGAAGCAAAGCAAATTGTTTATATAAAAGCAAGGGACTTTTTTCCATTAGATTATCCATCTTTCTCTGTTGGTTGATAGAATAAGAAATACAAGGAAAAAGAAAATATGTAGCTTTTTTGGTTGCTGTTTTTGGTTTGTTCTTTCTCAGTTTTTTTTTTTCTTTCTTCTCATCTCTATTTCTATACATATATAATAACATTTCTTGTATAGATAGTTAGAATCTGTACCTACACAAAACGAGAAAGGCTAAGTCATAGTTATCATAATTAGCAGTCAGTACAAATAGAAAAAAGAGTATTAACTGTATTTTGTAATACAACACATATATATATATATATATTGGTAAGTTGACCGCTTTTTTTTGTGGTTGAATTTTTAATTAGAAAACTCAACAATATATCTTTCACTTAATAGAATTAGTAGATGGGAGGGGGGAAAAGCCATAGATGATAGAAGTTCACAAGGTTAATTTACTAATTTTATTAATAAAATTAGTAAGTTATAAATAATAAAAAAAAAACAATCGATAATACATAAATATATCATCGTCAAATAATTTATCTTCCTATAATAGAATAAAAATAATTCAAGAAATTATTCTCGATTTAATATTTCTTATCTTTTTCAATCTCTATTAAAATATTTAAAATTGAAAGAAATAATTGTATGTTTATAATCTAAATATAACCTTGTCTTCATAAGAGAGATTGTATAGACATGATTTTTATGATTGAATATAAAACTAAAATTGCACATGTGAGACATTGTTTAAGGTCAAATGATAATGATGAAGAAAAAAAAAAAAACTACCATTATCATTATCATTTAGAACAGCGATCCGTTTTGTAAAAAGATATGGTTGTCAAGGATGAATACTTGTAGGCTTAAACAAACATTTTAGTTTATGTTTATTGGATATCGTAAAATTGTCTTTTTCTATCATTATATATACATGTAAATATAATTATTTGTTATTTTAACGAAATGAAACAACAAAAATCAATTCTATTTCATTAATAATATTCTTGTCTACTCAAAAAAAAACATAATAGTTTTCTATGTATAGATGTTTTTGGTTTTTTTATATTTCTGTGAACTATATAAGACAAGAAAATATTATTTGTTGATAGCAACCTGTTATCATTTCATTAGCATTCTTATTATATACTAGAACGTCTAGTTCTTTCATTTATTCTACTTTTTATGACTTTGTAATGATAGTTTTTCAGCTGCTATGACAAAACATTTTGTTATTACGACCTAATTTACTTCGAAAGGTAATCTATGATGTAATATGATATAACAAAAAAAAAAAAAAAGAAAGACAACGATGAACTCTTTCTAACTATCGTTATTTCTCTTTGCTAAAGCGATAAGTGTATCATCCTTGTAAAACAAGGTTGTTTGCTCCCTCTTATTGATTATGTAATTTCTTTTCATTCTCAGTCTATTTATTACATTTAACTATTTTTTGAGATAAATTTCTATAGATAAATAGAAAATAAATATTGCTTATACAATCATGGAAAAAATGAATAATTATAAGACATTTTATGTTCGTTTATACCTATAGATAAATGTTTAGATGAGTAGCAATGAGCTTTTTTCTTTCTTTTTTATTACTTGCATATTGAACCATTATATATACTTGCATATACATATATTTGATTACTCAACGAGAGGGTATGTTCATTATGAACCATTAAATAATCGATGGTCAATAATTACATCCAAAGACAAGTAGAAGAATAAAATGATTTCATATACATACACAACAGATTATTTTATATAGAAAAGAACAACAATGCCTGGAAATATGTAAATACTTGACTAACGCTTTTCTTTTCTAACGATTGTGAGATTATTTATCATCTTTTTTTTTTACTCTCATATGAATAAGTGAATAGTTTGCGTTTTGATCATCCAGATAACAAATAACAGAATAATACTGACGTTCTATCACGTAGACACATGTACAAAAATCTACAATCAACATATATAATACACATATACATATATAAGTGTACATTTATTACTCTTTTTTTTCTCTTTTAGATCTATTCTAGTCACTAGTCATTAAAAATGGTTTATATAATCTATCATATTCTTCTCATAATTGTTTCAGTAACAATTGTAAGAACAAAACCATGTAATATACTAGAAGACATGTCATGTGAATGTCATTCATCATCAAATAATGAAACTGAACAATTAAATTGTGAGAATCATCATAAACCAATAAGTACACCAATTCAATTAACAAATACAACATTACAAAATCCACGTTCATTTGATTCATTTCATTTAACATTTCATGCACAAGAATTTAATATAAGTGCAACATTTATTAATCAATTATCTTATTTATTTCCACGTGCATCACCATCACCATCATCATCATCATCATCATTGGTTCGAGGAATACAACAAAGAACAATTAAAATTATTTTAACATTTCAAGATTATCGTCAATTACATTTTGAAGATTATTCATTTTATGAATTATTTGGTGAAAGACCTGGATATACAACAAGTCTTTCATTAGAATTAACAGCTAATGGACATGTTACATTTTCACCAATGGCATTTAATCATTTAACTGTTGATCGAATGTCTTTACATAGTTCATCATTAGAACCATATTCATTTGAAGAAATTTTTAATCATACAAAAATTGGTAGTTTATCTGTTGAAGGTAAAACAAAAATAAATAGAGTTTTTACAAAAAAAAAATTGAATTATTTTTATTTAGGTTGTACACCTCGAAATAATAATACATTAGGTAGATATTTTAAAGGTAATATTCGTTCAGCAAAATTTACAAAAATGGCTGAACTTGTTTCAAGTGAAGAATTTCCTAAATATCCCGTTAGCTCAATGATTATTGAAGCACATGAACCAAGAAAAATGAATGCATCAACATTTAATAATTATTATAATTTAAATGGTGTTAATTTAGTTCGACCAAAATTTTTTTTTGATAATAAATCATTTGATGGTTTTCAATATTTAGAAAATCTTGAAGCAATTGAACTTGATGCTGAAACAATAAAAGGTATATTAATGAATTAAAATTATTCGAATAAAATTTCCTTTCTTTTTTTTTGTTTTTATTATTTAGATAATACATTTCAACATGTAAATCGTATTCGTTTTTTTACACTTGGACAAAATATTCGTTATTTATCTGAACATTCACTTGATCATTTAGATTATTTAACACGTTTTGATGTATCAAAAGTTGTTCTTGATCAATTATATCCAACATCAAAATGTGTTTTAGCACGTTATTTACAAAAACAACAAAAATCTAATCCAGCTATGATTATTCTTCCACCACAAGCAGAATTTTGCGATTGTGTTTATGATTTTATATTAAATCTTATAAATAAAAAGCCAGAACAATCATATACAGATTTATGTCAAAATACTCAACAAGAACGTTGTCAATTAAGTGAATGTGATGTTGTTAAAAATTTTCATGTACCATTAAAAGAAAATAAAATAGATCAATATTTGGTTCCATCAATTGATGAAAGTATTATTGATACACCAATATCGTTTTATCCAATTGATGATCAAACAACAACAACAACAAGAGCAACAACTACAATAGCAACAACAACAACAACAATTCAATATCAACCAATTCAATATCAACCAGTTCCATATCAACCAATTCAACATCAACCAGTTCATATTCCTCAACATCAACCAGTTCATATTCCTCGACATCCACCTGTTTATCATAATTCTCAACCAGATGATGATAATTATGATCCAAATGGTTCATCTTTTGCAGATACACAGGTGATTATTATTCAGCCAATACAGTTATCATCATCATCACCACGATCTTATTTCGTGGTTAGAAAGCGAACGAGAAAGGGAAAAAAACAATCTCGAAAACATTTTACTCAGAATAATCCATCTTATTCCTACAATGGACCACATTGGTGATCTTTTTGTTTGTTATAGTTTTTTGATTCACCTTCCCTCCCGTTTTTTTTCATACATCATTTTGTTATTTGTTCTTTTTTATCTTTTACCCTGTGTCCTTACATATTTTCACATAAAGTATAGCTTAGTAGAAATATGAGAATTTTCTTAAAAGAAAATGAATTTTTTTCTTCTTTTTCTTTTTTTGGTTTTGTTTAATTTTCATTTATTTTCTTCTTAGGGTTCACATGCATCGTCATTCAAAGTCAATAAACCAATAGATCCAAATGCAATACCAACAGATGATAATGATGAAAATATAGATTCACCACCAAAAATTCATAAATCTCAAACTTTACATGATATTAATGATGAATTTCATCAAATTGCTAAAAAAAATAAAACATTAAAATGGATATCATTATCATTAGTAGGTATTACTGTCTTCAGTATTCTTCTTGTTGGTACAATAATATGGTTTTTTACTTATCATTCACCTAAAACACAAAATAAAGCCAAATTTCAACGTGTTCCACCAGCTAGTTCAAATGTTTAATTATTTTGAATTACAGTCTTTCGTAAAAAAAAAACTATCATTAAAAAAAACAAACTAACAATGTTATTCGCATTTTTCTATGATCATCCGGTGATAAAATTTCTTTTTCGTTTTTTTTTTTTTTGGCTTTATATAATTCTATTGTTGATGGACAGAAATGTTTATACAAATGGAATGGACGGATGGGAAAGACACAATGAAGAAGTACGATAGCCATTAATGACCTTGTTTTGTATGAAAACGATTATGGATGAATGACGTGCATTTGTTCTCTTATATTCTTATCGTTTAGTCAACTCAGGGACAATATTCTTTTAAATGCAACTACTGAATACCCATCAACATTCCCATTAATTGCAAACAATTGTTGAGCTTCAAATCAAAAAATACAACAAAAAAAAAAGCTATATTGTTCTTCGTGTTCTTTTTCTTTTTTGAAATATTATCCATTTATCTTTTCATTTTTATTCTATTCATTTTTGCACGAAATTTTTTTTTCTTTTGTTTTTTTTTTTTCTTCCTGTTTATTATTGTTATTTTAATAGCATAGATCATTGCACACATATTGATTTAAAGTTTTTTTTTTTTGGGGAGAAGGGCAGTTTATTTATACATTTATATATGTTTAATTTTTACATCTGAAAGAAGATTAATTTCATCTGTTGAAATTTGACATTAATTTTATGGATTATTTTTGTTTTTTTTTTTTTTATTTCTCAATATAAGAAAAAAAAAAGATGGATTTAAATAATTAAGGTGAAATATTTTCATGTTGGTCAATATAATTGACAACATTTACTTATAATTAACAAAACAGACAATGTCTAGAAGTTTCTTTTTTTTATCAATATGCTTATTATTACAATGTCATAAGATAGTTTAAATAGACTTGATAACATCTTTGTTCATGTCATGTATATCAATGAGACAATCGAGGTCATAGATGTATGGCTGTCAATGACATACTTTACATGAATCGTAAATAATGCTATTTATTACTATTTTATTAATATACATTGACATATACAATGGAAACAGAATATGTCGCCAGACAACAGCTATCCTTCAATCAACATGAAATAACAGACATCAAGGTCGACAGTTAGTTTAGTACTTTGTTTTATGAGTTGCTCTCAACTGTACAAATGTTCGCACGATTGTCAATAATGTACGTTTCTGTTACGTCATTTATACACTTCTCTTCAATAAATAATCATTATTATATCATAATAATAGTAGTAGTGTAAGCATACGAGGGAGGAGCTCATTGCCACCACCCTCTCATACAAACGATTAAGTTCTAATTTAAAAAAGGACTTGAACTTCTTCTAGAAGTATTATCAAACAGTGCCTGCTCCTCTTCCTCAGTAGGTCTGAATCTCCTTGTGATGAGATACTGATATTTTAATGACTCAGCTTTCTGCAGCCGCTCAGTCTTCAAACTATCCTTAAAAACATGCAAGAACAAATGCGGTGATTATTCGATCGTCTCGAACATAAAGCAATTTCCGGTTCACCTGCCATTCAGTCTTTACCAGTCAACATTGATTAATTCATGTCATCGATTTTTAAGTGTCAAAACATTTTTGAGTCAGGACTCTATGGATCATGTAGATTTAAATGAGCGATGAATAAGAGTTTAGGCTAATAACTTATTACCGTCAAGATACTATATTTCTGCCTTATTGTTTAGCAGAATGTCGTGGCTTCTTTTAGAAATACCGGAAAAATTGAGTTTAGAATTCTGACTTGAAACTTATACATAGACCTTAACCGGAATAGCTTATTGTGAAAGTTTATTGCGCCTATTCTGAAATAAGAACATCAGAATCAGCCATTGCATATAAGCAGCGTGAAAAACCATACTTTTACTATAGTCATATCTTAGGATAGAAAGAATCAAAAGATCTCAAACTTTTATAATACCTTAATTCTCATTAAAGTCCATCTCTGTGCAAAGTTTCAAACCGAACCTCGAAATTCAATTTTCCTAGTGTATCTGAGATGGATCATGGTATTCTGCTAAAAAATACAATACAAAAACAGTATCTCGATACTAATAAACTATTAGCGTAAACTCTTTTGAGGATATTCATAAATCATTAGACTTGACATGATGCATATTGGTCTTGATTCAAAAACAATTTGACATTTAGAAATGTTTTCTCATTAAACGAGAACTTGCTGCACATCATCAACAATAACAATCTTTCTGCTTCACATGCATCACTTTTACCATTAACTACTTTACGTTCTACTACAATTCCATCGTCTTCTTTATCCTTTTATCCCATATACTCATCAATTACTCCTCAATCATTATCTCATTATCCATCTTTCTCAGCATTTGAATCTATCATCTCTAACTTTATTCGTCCATACGCTAACTCTTTTCGTTCATCCAAATCCCTTATTATCATCAACTATTAGTACTCCAACACTTAGAATCGCATTCGGTTGCATCTCATCCCTTCCTTTAGAACTTTTTTCTAGTTACGTCATTAACCGATACAATCGAGAATAATTTTATATGTTTTGTCTAGACATCAGAAAGGAAAACTCATTAACATCATTCCAAATAAACCCGCATAATTCGAGGTCAAATAAGTTTATCATTAGTCTAATAGAAAATCGAAGAACATAGATTTACAATTATTCACAAGAGAAAATAATTGAATTAATTATAATCATTAATAGAATTCTATACTATTGAAAAATATCAATAATGCAAATGAACGAAATGTAAACAATCATTTGGTGGTTTTTTTATTTATTCGGAATTCGAAAAGAAATCCAGATGGCACCATTAATCGAGAAAAAACCTTGCCAGATTTTTCGTTTTGATTGGATATACTTTAAATTCAATTTCAAGTGAAAACTCCTCCTATTGAGTAACGTTGCGTGGCATGTTATTGTCAATCAATTCATTTCAAACATCTATTTAAAAAGCAAAATATTCTATACATTAAAAAACAATCAATTCGTTTTTTTGTTTCTTCGTTTTCGAAATCAAAATGCATTCGTTCTATTTTATTCTCTTGTTCTTTATTTTACTATATACATTTCATAATACATATGCTGATGATAAATCAAAACCAAAAATTAAAAAAGATCCAATAGATTTTACTGAAAATGATGTTAATAATCTTTTCGAACAATGGGAGGTAAATTCTTTGTTTTTTTTTTATAGAATAAAAATTTTTGTGTTTAATTATAGGAAAATGATGAAGATATATTACCTGAAGATGAACGACATGATTTTTATTTACGTCATCCATACGGTAAACATCAACCACCTATGTTTAAACCAGAAGAATTAACTGGAAAAGATCCAGAAAGTTTAATAAAAATGACAAAAAAAGGACAAACAATGATGATGTTTGCAACTGTTTCTGGTAATCCTACAAGACGAGAAACAGAAGAAATAACACAAATATGGTGGGCAGCCTTAAAAAATGCTTTATATGATGTAACTAAGTAAGTTTTGTTTTTTTTATTGAGGATTTTTATTCTGTATAAAAATTTTTATTTCTCATTTAGATATATTGTTGATGATACACGAGTTTTATTTCTTTTACAAGATGGTTCACAAGCATATGAAGTTAAAAATTATCTTGTTCAACAGGATCGTTGTCAAGAAGTAACAATCGATAATCGACCATATTATGGAAAAGGAGCTCAAGTAAGGACATTATATTGAACTCTTTCCTTTTTTTTTTTTTTGTTTATTTATTTTAGAATGCTCAACAAGCGAAGAGTCAAGATTTATAAACAAAAAAATAATCACGAAGAGAATCATTTTTGCTAATCTCATTATACTGATTTTTTTTTGTTGTTGACTAGTCACTTCATTAGTTAGTGGGAATATTTTTCATTTTGCACCAAGCATTTGATCTATGAAATGTGATGGAATTTTTTTTTTCTCATGGGATACAACTTTTTTTGTTTTTTGATTAATTATTTGAATAAATAGAAAGGGTTAAGAAAAATAATTCAGGATAAAAATTAGATGCTGCTAGAATGTTGCTTTTTCTTAACAAATGGAAATTATGTTGAACAAGAAATTTTTTTCAAATAGGTTGTTTTTTTTTTGTATACAAGACAGGTAAAGTCTACATAGAATGATGAAAATCTATAATCATTCGTCTCTCTGATGCTTTTTTCTTGATATATAATCATTTTGTTCAATTGTCAGCCGAGAGTCATTAATGTCACAGAAAATCCAGTGTCGTAGTTTTAACCTGCAATTTTATCGATAAACAGTTCTTATGAATGTTTTCTTCCTGGGATAAAACATTTGAAAGAAAAGAGGATTTTTTTTCTAAATCCTCTCTAAAATATACACATTGATCGAAGTTCTGGCATTGACATAGTATAGAAACTGGATCCGAAATTTTCAAATCCGGATCTTGTTGAACCGTACTTTGATATTCCCAATGAAATTTTCTAATCGAATTGGATAGTCGCCTAGACGATACGAGGTATTTTTTTCGGCTTTTTGAATTCGGTGACTAGTGTATCCTACACATTTCCCAGATGACTAGAACCCATTGAGTCCAAAATTTTCGGACCCGGGTCCGAGTCCGAGGCCAATCTGATGGTCTCTACTATCCATGTTGTCAAAATCGGCTCAATTTTGACAATTAATCGGCGATTTTGCAACAAACTTCAACAGTAAATATTTACTTAGGGTTGACCAAAAACTCTAAGTCTCGGTGTTTTCAGGACCTTGTCGGATAAGGTAATCTGTTCAGAAATTAAAAAAACCAAATATATCATGCTGTAGAGCTTTTTAAGACGCGTCGAATGATATATAGAAAATCTTGTTTTCATAAGACTTTAAAGGAACTAGAGCCAATTTACTGATGTATGACTACACACCCACCACTGACAAGATAACCAGAGATGTCACGTATAGGAGATTGTAGCCCGTCAAAAACTCTACAAAATCGTATGTGAGAAAAAATACTTTCAACTAATACCAAGGACCACAATACTTTGTAACCTATCATTCTTGGGTATGGATGTATAGTCGTCTATCAGTAAATTGACTCTAGTTCCTTCAAAATCTTATGAAAACAGAATTTACTATATACTATTCGACGAGTCTCAAAAAGCTCTACAACATAGTACATTTGGTTTTTTTGTTTTTGAATACGTTACCTTATCCAACAAGATTCTTTAACCGGTGAGCTTAGAACTTTTGGTTAACCCTAAGTATTTATAAAAATGATTTTCTTTTTTATTATTTACGGCATATTAGAAGAACAAAATCATCTTTCTTCTCATCTATGGAAAATTTTTATGAGTACAACGAAAACAAAAAAAGAAGGTCATATACTCGTCGAGATACAGTCGGAGTTCTAGAGCTGAGTATTATGATTAGTTTCGATCATCGTAAATTTCTGTACAAATTAGAGGAAAGTCGCTTTTGTTAAATGATCTAATCGCAATATAATTTCATGATCAATCGCCCTAACAAATTGCTAATTTTGATTTCATAGATACTCTCAGTAAGTTCGACCGAATGGAATGAGTTTCATCTGAAAACTCTTTTTTATTACTTGACTAGATTCTTTTGAAAGATCGTAATACATTATTATAACCCTCCGATAACTCAACAAATCAGTTTGAATACCTAATTTTGTATAACAATTCTCATTTCCGCTTAAAACAGTATCAATTTATCCTAACATATCCAGATATCGAATTTTTATTTTCGGTATGACATAAGCCATCAACAAAAGAGATGCCTCATATCTATCATCGAATAATTCGAAATCGGAGTGAAACTATAATTAACATGAGTCTGTTATGTACCGATCACTGAGTGACAATAATTTTAACCAACATCAACAAAAGCTATAGCACGGTATTTGAAATGTTTCAAAGTTCGTCTATTTAATAATACTAGAAAATCTTTCTTTAGAAGATTTTACTAGCATTGAATTAGTTATCTTATCGAACTTTCAATCAAACAATGTCTTTATATATGATTTTTGCGTAAATATACCCAAAAGACATCCTGGAAAAATCAACTATTCATAAGATCTTAAATCAACTATGTCGCAGAGTATAATAGCAAATTAAGCTAGAAAAACTTACCGAATAGTTTCATATATCGAACAAAAAATGAATTTGATCTCTAGAAAGTTACAAAGGAGTATTCAACAAATCTGTTTATTCAAACATTGGAAAATTCACTTGAGAGAACAATTAGAAAAATTTCGTTTAGTAGATAAATATCAAATAAAGAAGCCGTGATTTACTAAACTCTCTTGTTTTGAGTACATGAATATTAACAGACAAAAAAAAATCATAATATTGCTGATGTCATAATCTTAACTATCATCTGTAATCATGTTTTTGTAACAATCAGTCATCAATTATTCTACAAAATCATAAAATTATTCCAATAATTAACTTTGTTGGAGTTACATTAGAGAGATGCAGACATTTCTACATTATCTAATAGATAAAAATCATCGGACAAATATAGTTTAATGAAGATTTGTCATTGTTCGTTTTGTTATCACAAGTGAATTACATTAGTAAATAATTCTAGCTGAAACAGAATCAATATCGTTTTTTTTTTTTTTGACAATTCAGAAAGAATTAACTAATTAACTATTACTGTATCTTAGAATGTTGATCTAATATAAATCTAAAATCATTTAATAATCAACAAATTTTCTTATATAACAATAAAAAAAGAATGAATTATTCATTTAAGAATTCTCTATTCGCATCGATTCACTTGAATAACAACTCTTCTCGATCGAGTATTATAAAGTTTAATCAAGATTTAATCACTAGAACATCAAACTAATTTTTACATCTACAAAAATGAACAAATCTTCCCATATTAATCTTATATATTTATTTTTTTAATGTATTACATAATTCTTTTTTTGAATTGTCTCTGATTATCTACCATAAGCTCTTTTTCTCAATCAAGAAAATTTCCAAATCTATGTCTTTTGTCTTCTATTATTATATAGTTAGAACTATTGATGACTTAGTCTAGAATTGTTACTGAAGATCAAATGAATAGCAAAATTCTAGATGATTTGTCATATATGTTGATCCCTTGAGATAAAGAAATTGAATATATCTCGTTGTCCTTGCTTTCGTCATTGATGCGTAGATAGTGATTGTCGATTCTCTTGAGAGAATGAATGAAGTCATTTTCACATTTATGATATATATATATGTGCATCTTCTGACACAATTATTCCGTCTGACAGAGTTTGTTCTTTTTTTGTTTCTCTAATCGATTCAATTTAGAATTAATTTCTATGATTGTAAAGCTTCATTTTCTTTTCTTTTTTTTTTTTTTTTTTTTTATGTCATATATCAATATTACAATTGCATTTCATTCTATTGACATTCACTCGAGAGTTGACTTGTCATTATTGGAATATCGGTAACTACTCTTGACAGTTTATTTCATTCTTTTTCTCGACACAAGAGAATAAGAAAAAAAAATCGTTAACCATCTGCTTGTATGTCAGTTTTATGAGTATAAAAAAAACATTTATTTTATCAATTTCTTTTTTGACACTTCGAGCAAGAGATGCGCAATTTTGTTGTAAAGGAATATGCAGTTTAGTTCTCGTACGTTGTGCTTCATCATCATCGTCAGTGCCGCAAGAAATTAGGGAGAACGAAAGAAAATGGCAGCAGCAATAAAACAAACAGCAGTTACAACGGAATAAATATATATATATGCGTACAGACATACTGATGGACGCTGGGTGTCTGACTGTCTTATCATCATCAGAGTAGCCGCTACTTTTCCATTACTTATTATATATACAGAGGATGCTTCTATATCCCATTGCGATGATTATTTTCTTTCTTCTTTTTTCTTTTTTTTTCATCTTCAACCAAAATGATGACAACACTTTCCGTATGATTATTGTCTTCGATCATCATCAGTTCGACTAGCTTTCATCAACATTGTCTTTCCGTTTTTACCTTCTTTCATCTATAAATCAACGTACATTTATAAAACAAAGATAACGGAAGAAAGAGGGAGGAGCTTTTTCTACGATCGATAAATGAAATTATTAGATCATATGATTACGATCAACGTGTTATATTTATGTATGATGATGATAATACATTGAAATAGATGACAGCTTTTCTATATATATATATAATCTTGTAAGTTTTCTTCTGAAATCATTTTATACTTTTTTTGTTTTTTATTTTGCTTTGCTATTTTAAAAATATGTTAACTTTTAATCGCGTCTCATCTTGTTTTCATCTCATCATTTTGAGGTCAACGCTTTTTATTTGTTTATATCGATCCTTTCTTTTTTTGATTCGTTCCTTTTAGTGCTGATATTAAAGCATATGTTTGTATTCTATCTATCTTTCTTTTTTTGTTATTAAAGAATTCGCTATTTATCAATGGAATGAAGACGATGTCGGAAGTGTAATGTCTGTGTATTTATAATAATAATACTCACTAGATCATCTGTTCGATGCGGTATCAATCTATCATGTAGACAACTAAACGAAAGAGATAAAAAAAAAAAAGAAGATCAACATATGCAATCAAATCAAGTGAATAAACGAGTAATACAAGCATATGACAGGCAAAAAAAATCTTGTCTATTCTATACGATAATCATTGTGGTTAGTCGCATTTTCTTTTCACTTCCGCAGATTGTTTTATATAAGAAATGTATATTCATTTTGCTTCATAGACTAATTCTATTCTGTCGATTTCAATTAAATATTGTCTCAACATATTCTTACTT